TTCAATACAGCATGATGTTCATTTAGTACATGATGGTCCATTTAGAGTCAAACAGACCATAAAGCAGGGTATGCTTTAGGGCGGGCTTACTGTGATTGATAGGTCGCTACCAGAGCCGTATACGGCGTCTCCACCACGGCGTCATTCTTCGTCTCCTCCGTTCACTATTTGCAAAAAAAACCAAGATGGTGAGTTTAAGTATTTCTATTTTTCTCTTGACTTGTAGATAAAGTAGAATGCTAAATGCAAATGCAAAAATGGCCGGTAAATCTATACAAAAACTTAAAGGTCTCATATTGTGAGATTTTCAGATCTTTTTAAAAAATCATCATCTTGGTCTCGGTGCTATATGAATACTGTGAAAGCATCAAAACGCTCAATTCATGGAGAAATATACACAACCCTCAGCTGACAGGAAGTAAACATGGAACCAAGCTGTTGCATTGCAATTCAGTTGAAAAGTGCTAAAACTGAATACGGGTAATACAGGTATATACACACAGACAGTGTGAAAAATGAACTTTAAAGCATGTAAACATGAGCACAATATGTCTCCTTTCAAAACTCCTGGAGGTGAGTTGGGCTTAAACAGGTGAGACTAACTCGCCCACATGGCAGTAAGGTATTTGTCTAGTCACGCAGTACCAGCTTAGCTTTCTAACCCAAAGACAAATCTTTTTCTATCGGAAACGTTAGTGTTAGCTGGTTTAATCTGTCTTTAAAACACTGGATCAATACGCTCGAGGATACCGTGACGTTGAATCCCCCCGAAGCTTAAACGGTCTCTTAAAGCTCCCTCTGTTCCACACATTCAAGATGCCCTGAAGCAAAACACACAGGGAGAGAGAGAGAGAGAGAGAGAGAGACCACCAGAGCAGATGGCAGGTCTTCACACAGGAAATGGATTTAAAGCACATACACATACTATCACACACACACCATGCCTCACTCAGGTGGTGATCAAAAGTTAAACATCACAGCAGCACAGGTGATAATCCTGAAAACGAGGACAGTGTGAAAGACAACATGTCTGTCTGTGTGTGTGTGTGTGTGTGTGTGTGTGTGTGTGTGTGTGTGTGTGT